AATTTGAACACATGTCTGACACCTGCTTCTTCTCCACCAGTGTCACCTGAGTTCTGAAATCAGACCTGATTGCTCAGGTCTGACCTGAGCATCTGGGCAGAAAGGGCCAGCCGAGTAGCTCTCAGTGGCCATAGGCCTCCTGTCCCTCCCCCACCTCTGGCCCCCTGGCCACCAAGCATGGAAGGAGGACGTCACACACAGCTTTGGACAGGGCAGGGCCAAGTGGGTGTTGTGGGCAACCAAGGCCTACAGGCAGGACAGGACCTTTCCCACCTGCACCCAGGTGCTCAGAAGACCGGGCCTGGGCATCCTGATGGTCAGCCCTGCTGGACTCCAAGACTAAGTTCCTCAGAGCAGCTCTTTCTCAACAGTTGATTCTCTCTCTCTCTCTCTCTCTCTCTCTCTCTCTCTCTCTCTCTCTCTCTCTCTCTCTCTCGTGTGTGTGTACACGCATGCGCGTGTGCGCATGCGTGCATGTGCATGTGTGTCACTACATCAACACTGTTGGACAGAAGAACAAACCTTCATTCAGCATCAATGTAAGGCTATTATCACACATCACAGAGCTTGTAGAAGCTTCTGTTGTACACTTGTGAGGAAATGCATGGAAAAGACACATAACGAGTATTTTGGACCTCATGAATTCGACAGCGCCTTGAGGGCTGGCTGCCGTGGGCCCCAGGCCACTCTTCCCCACGTGGCCTCTGTGCATCGGTCTCTGCCCTCCTCCCTGGCCACCTCCTCACCCTCAGCACTGCTGGTGGGTGCAGCATGCGAGTCGCTGGACACTGAAGGCACCTAGGCATGCGGGGATCCCCGGCCTGCCAGCCCTCAGCAGCCGTGCCACGCCAGAGCCCAGAATCCTCCATGCCCACACCCCATGGCCCTCCCTGGTGGAATTCCACCACCGCGCCGCTCAAGGCACGTCTATCAGTGGGAGACTCTCTGCCAGGACGCACAACATGTTTTCAATGGAGCAAAGAAATTTAAATGGGAAGAAATTATAGCATGGGCGAATTTATCCCTTTCAAGATAATCTTATTTAATAACCAAAAAAACCTCACAAAGATGTGCATTTTATCCAGCTACAAAGGCAGCATGGCAGGGTCTATACTGCGGTAATTACATGTTTGGGGTTTCGTTCCTTCTTTAAACTTGATTTCTATTATTTCAGAAAATCAGCCAGTGCCGAAAAGACCATTCATTTATTCTATTGCTGGGTGGCCCTTCCCCTATGAAAATAGGTCAAGAACAGTAATCTAAATTGACGGCTGATAAATAATTAAAGCTAATGGAATTTTCTCAAATCTGTGAACTAAAATCTTTGAGAAATTGCCGGGACATACTGTCTGCTGTTGTGCAGAGAGAGATTTTTTATTTAACAGTCAAGTTTAAATGCCATTTTAAAACCTCCCTTTGCCGTGACAGAGACGAGATTTTGTGCTCATCTGTAAAAGCCGCTGCAAGCCCGACGCCGACCATAGCCTCAGTGATGAGATGGGAAGCGAAGGTTCCAGAGTCTTGGAACAAAGGGGAATCTCACTTGCCATCAAACTGTGTTTTTTAAGTTGAGCTGTGCAATCAAGGTAGCACACAATGTATTGTTATTTCTTAAACACGCCATTCGTGGCCTGAGCTCTTGTGTTCTTTAGTAAGAGAGACATGTGGCTATCTGAAAGCAACAAGCGTGGAACCACGACCCTTCCACGCAGCAGGTATGGTGGTGCACACCTGTAATCCCAGCACTGAGGAGTTGAGGCCGAGGATGACAATACCAGTTTGAGACCCCAGTTCCTCTTTAAAGAAGCAGTAGCTTTGTTAAGCTGCTATGCCTAACATATGTCTAATCTGATGTTGTGTGTACTGTTTATTTTCTTATGTTTATAAATGAACTTAACTTCTGAAAATAAACTTTTTCTTTCTTTTTAAAATTTTTCCTTAAAAAGCACATTGTTCTGTTCAGATTTCAGTGGGAATTTTTTCACTGGAATTCCTCACCCCTAGCGTGTGAATGATCTGGAACCGAGTGCCTCCATCTTGTATTTCTGGAGCTGCATCATTCCAGAATTCTATGGATGACTTTCCTGCTTGGGCTGGCCTTGAACCACAATCCTGAGTAGCTAGGATGACAGATGTGAGCCACCGGTTACAAGCTACAAGAAGTGTGTTGAGATGCAGGCTTGCAGTTTTCAGGCATGACTGAGTGTGTGTCAGTTCTGGTTTGGGTCTTGCTTTTAAATCATCCTGGTTTTCTGTAGTAGCTCTTCCCCCTCCCCCCCTCAAAAAAATGCCTTGATAGTGCTTTGCTGTTTTCTCTCCACTGTAAAGGTGGCTCAGATCGGCAGTCTGAGAATAACTCGAGGAAGTGTCTCTGTAAACACACCTTATTATTTGCTTTGAACTTAGGGGAAAGGTTGAAGTGAGCTATTTTGGCTTTTGCCAACAGACATCTGACATTAACAATCCCAAGATCATCATGATGGAGGCCTTAAAATGCTCGTGTCTTTATGGATAGTACAGGACTAAACACAACAGAATTCAGCCTGAGAACCTGTAATCAAGCACCTTGCCCTACATGATTGTTTCCATTTTAAGTATGTGGCAATTACTAAATCAATCATTCATTCCAATGAGCAGTTAGGGTGTGTGTGTGTGTGTGTGTGTGTGTGTGTGTGTGTGTGTGTGTGTGTGTGTGTGTGTGTGTGTGTGTGTGTGTGTGTGTGTGTGTGTGTGTGTGTGTGTGTGTGTGTGTGTGTGTGTGTGTGTGTGTGTGTGTGTGTGTGTGTGTGTGTGTGTGTGTGTGTGTGTGTGTGTGTGTGTGTGTGTGTGTGTGTGTGTGTGTGTGTTGGGATATGAACTCAGAGCCTTGTGATTGCTAGGCAAGTGCTCTGCCCTGTGAGCCACACCTAGGACTTTTTGATTTTCAGGTAGAATCTTGGACTTTTGCTTGAGTGTTGTGTTGTTTTTGCCAGTCCCAGGGCAGTCCCTTTTGTTCAAGGCTAGCACTCTACCACTTGAGAGCCACAGTGCCACTTCTGTGTATGTGGTACTGAGGAATCAAACCCAGCACTTCGTGAGTGCTAGGCAAGCACTCCACCACTAAGCCACATTCCCAGCCCCTGAGGTTTGTTCTTGAGATAAAGTCTTGCTAACCCTGTGTGGCTGACTTTTAATTGTCCTCCTGTCTCCTGCCTCCTGAGTAACTGGGATCGCAGGTGTGAACCACCATGCCCAGCCTCTGCCTCTCGTGTGGTTTGGAAAAGCCTGACCCAGGCTCACTTCACTTGTGATCGTGTAGCAGAGGGCTTAGTACTGGGCCCAAGAACCAGAAGGACAGAGTCCGAGTTGCCTGGGCCTGTCCTCGGGGCACAGTGCTCGGAAAACTTGGCAAATCAAGGGCAGAATTGAACACTCTGGATCCTTCTCCTTAGTGTGGTTCCAAACCGGATAATATCTGTGGCAGTAGACTTGCAAAAGGGATTTTTCCAACTGCCAAGAGTAAAATTAGAACGCTCGGCTTTTAGCTGGTGCCTTGAAGTGCCTATGTGTCAGTTTGTGTTCGACGTGTGAAGATAGAGTGGGTTTTTTTTCCTCCAACTGTCTTTAAATATGCGCGTGTGTGCGCGCGTGTGTGCACACACACATGGCGTTGGCTGTAGCACGGAAAAGGGCGCTGCGGTGGGGCTGTGGGAGCCCACGCATGCTCCAGTAAATGGTTTCAAAGAACGGCGAGGGCTTGGGAGAGCAATGGAGCTGTCCAGGCCCCCGGAACACACGCTCCCTGCCGCACCCCTCACACCTGCTGTGCACGGCCAGGCCTGGCTGGGCGCACAGGGTTGGATGAGGGGGGAATCTTGGGTTGTGGCCTTAGACCTCAGCACCCCAGTATGTCCCCGACTTTTCCTTCACTTGCAGTGGTCCCAACTCAGGGTCTTCCGCCTCACTGCCCCCCATCCCACGACCCTGCCCAACTACACCCTCTCCTCTCTGAACCTGAGCTCTATGGAGCCTTAGGGTGCACTCCCATGATGCCCCTGTGGCGTGGCCTTGGAGAGTGGGCAGGGTGGCTCACCTCGGTGGGACAGGCCAGGCCCAACCCCGCCATGCCCCCTGTGCCACAGTGCCATCTCCGTGGATGGATCGCTGCGCACCCAATTGTGCACGGCAGCCTGGCGGCCCACATGAGCAACCGTTCCTTCCTCACCCCAGCAAGACAAGGGTTCCGTGAGGGCACCAGGGAGCGAGTGGCCCCCACCCCCACTGCTGCCTCCATTCTTCTGTGTTCTGAGGCCTGTGGAACCTCCCTGGCCCCAGGCCCAGGCTGTGGCTGGATGTCACTCACTACCTGGCTCAGGGACAGCAGGAGGGCCTGCGCGTACATCAGCAGGCTGGCGCTCCCCGACATGGCTTCAGTGGGCTCTGACCTTGCCGATGCTAGCTGGCCATGATTGGGGTGGACCTGGGTCAGCTTGGGGGTGGAGAGAAGTGGCTCCCTCCTGCCCCTCCTCCTGGCACAGCAGGGAGTCTCCCGTGCTGTGCCATATCCCTGGTCCCTCCTCGGATGGGTTTGCATCCTGCAAGGGCTGGCTTCAGCCTGCAATCCTCTGACCTGTGTTCCTTATGTAGCTGGGTTCACAGGTATGAACTGCCACACCCCACTGGTCTGTGGAGATGAGGTCTCACTATTATTCCAGTTGGCTTGGAACCTAAGTCCTCCCAGTCTCTTCTACCTAAGTAGCTGGGACTACAGGTATGAGCCACCATGCCCAGCCTCATAGCACATTCTAACCAGGCCTCGGTAGAAGCTAGTGTGTGTAATTTGTAAAATTGGCATGGTGTATGGTTTTAAGGGTGAAGGTCAGTAGGGGGTCCAGGATGGTGGTGGGGTGATTCTCAGCATGAGACCATTGTAGGGAAAACCCTAATGGATGTTTTCCTTCTATTTCTTCCTCCTTTGGCTACCCCGGCCTGGCCTGACCTGACCACTCACCTCACTGCAGGATTTGCGCAAGCAGGTAGCACCGCTGCTGAAGAGCTTCCAAGGAGAGGTAAGCTGGGCCCCCCGGGGTTACATTAAACAGATGTCCTGGCCACCGTAGAGCTGGGAGGAACCTTCCGGCTGCACATGCGGACTGTGCCGTCCAGTGGACAGACACTGCTCAGGCTGTAGCCCGGAGCCCTCAGCCTCTCCAGGTGCCGCCGTGCCCAGCCGGCCTGCAGGAGCAGGCCTCGAGACCCTGATGCTTCGTGAGGAGCGGCGTGACTCCTGGGCTGAGGCTGAGCTCACAGGAGTGAACCTGGGTTCACAGGCACACGCTTCCCAGTGGAACTTTCCAGAGGGCCCTCGGCAGATGAACAGTGTGCAGGGGTGGCCCCCGACAGGGAGAGGAGGAGGTGTCCCGTGGGCTAGCATGGTGCTCAGCACGATGGCGGGGGCCCAGTGGTGACACCCATTCCCTCCTGGCCCTGTGTGGGCATCGGAAGATTTTGGAATGCTAGCATCGGGGTGGTCGGCAACGGAGCCGGCAGAGCGAGGGCAGCTGCCCTGCGCTGCTGCTTTTGGAAGAGTCCAAGCCTCGGGTCAGCACTGTCCCATCATCTGATGGCTGGTGGCTTTGGTGCTGGAGTTGCCAGATGTGAACAGTCAGAGACACATCTGAGCCTCCTGGTGCCCGACACAAAGGCTGTTGTTGAAAAGGGTCAAAGATTAGCTTGAACGAAGGTTTATTAGATCCCTGCTAATGGCCATGTCCACGTGAGGGATGGAACGTGGTGTCCTAAGGCGCCATGGGGCAGGCTGCGACTCCCCAGCTCCCATCTATACCCCGTGGTAAGGACCCCTCACATCTCCTTCGGCAAACTTACCCACACAGCACAACTTTAGTACCTGCTGGGCTCAGAGTGCACTCAGTCTTCAGACACCTGCTACTCTGTATCCTCTGAACGTTGTCTTCCCAAATTGCTATATTAAGTGAATACTACTTGCTATGAAATCAGGATTTTAGCCAGGTTCTGGTCAGATTCAGGAGGCTAAGATCCAGGGGATCAAAGTTCAAAGCTAGCTCAGGCAGAAAAGTTGGAAGGACTCCTTCAGTTAACCAGCAAGAAAACACAAAGCAGGACAGGAGGAATGGCTCAAGGAGTAGAGCACCAACCTAGCTAGCAAGAGAGAGGAGAAAGAAAGCAGGCTTTTTGCAGAAGTCCTACTTGTTTGGGAGGAGGAACTTAAAGGCAGAGGTAACTATTTGAGTCTGGTCAAGGTGAGGGTAGTTTTCCTTCAACTAGACCAGAGGCCGATGCCTGCCTGGGGCAGGGCCACAAGGCTGCTGGCTTAGCCAGGGACTCATACTTGTTCTCCTGGTGGCTTCTGCTCCTCAGCTCTGTTCCAGTTCCTTCCAAGGCCCTGGGTTCCTTCTGCAGAAATATGTTGTTACTGAAATATCTCTGAATTTATCCATCCCCCCACTCCCCTTCCCTTTCTGTTCTTCCCTTTCCTTCCCTTTCCTTTTCTCTTTCTTCTCCTCCTCCTCTCCTGGTGTTCTGTTCCCCAGCTGGGATCCACCCTCAGAATCTCATACACGCTAGGCAAAAACTTCCCAAGACTCCCATCTTAACCAATAAAAGCTGGGTGTGGTGGTGCATGCTTGTCATCCCGGCTTTGTAGAAAGCATAAATATGAATGTTACACTCCAGGCCCATCCACACCTTATTTTTAAAAAATCGTAACTAAAGCACAAAGGCCTAGCCAAGCACAAGGCTCTGGGTTCAAACCCCTGTACCACCAAAACAAAGGCATCTCATAGTCCAACAATGCCTTAAGCAACCCTTTGAGTAAATCTCTGGCAATCTCTCCCTTTTCTCTTGGAAGGCTGAGGGGGGCTGGGTACCAGAACAAGGGTGCCCCAGTATCCTCGGGGGTAATCAGAGCATTCACATTAGAGGCAATGAGAGACAGAATCTTGAGGCCAGCATCTGCTTAGAAAGCCAGCACAGTAGAGGTCAGAACAGCAATGGGTGAATCACAAGTGCAGGAGGATAAATGAATGAGAAAGAAAAGGCCCAGGAGATGGACATGTGCAGTTGGGGCTTTTTGGTTTTTTTTTGGTGCTGGTGACTAGGCTTTGAACTCAGGTCTAGAGCTTGCTAGGAAAGCACTCTGCCACTTGAGCTACATGCCCAGTTGCTTTTCTATGAGTTTCTTTTCAGCTATGAAGTCTACATTTTTGCCCCAGATGGCCTTAGCTCACAATTATCCTACCCTTCACCTCCCAAGTAGCTGGGATTGCTGGAATGCGCCACCACATCCACCTCAGTTTTGAGATAGTCTCACTAGCTTTTTTCTCGCTTGCCTCAAACTGCTATGAGATTCAAGTGAGCCACATACCCAACCAGACTTGTTTTGATTTTTGTTGTTTTATGTTCATATGTTTGTTAGTAGGGATTTGGGGAGGGGGAGAATCTCTTACTTTGGTAGTGAGGATTGAACCCATGGCCTCACCCTGGCCAGGCCAGCACTCCCGTCGGAACCACGCCCCTCTGCCCTCAGCGCTGGCACACCTACCTGACAAACCACTTTACTCATCAGGAAAGATCGCCATTGCGTTACTAACACCTTAGCTGCAGCAGAGATTAACAAGATAACAAGAAAGGATTATAAACAGCTTTATTCTCATTCACTTTAAAACTTAGACAAAGTGTCCTAAGTTTTTAGAATCCCATCCCTGCCCCCAACTGCTTGAAGAAGCTGCAGAAAACATGAAGTCTCATGGCCACTACAGCAATGCTCCTGCAGGTCTGGAGTTCTCTGGGAGAGATCTGTCCATCCTTCACGGAACACGGAGTCCTCTTCTTTGCAAACTCCTGGAGAAGATAGAGAAAGAAACAACAATTCCTAACTGATTTTATGAGGCCGATGTAACCTCGATGCCAACAAGCAGATGTGAACAGCACAAAGAGGGAAATAAAAGTCACTGTTATTTATGAATAGATGTGCAGGCACCCTTAAAAAGGGCTGGGCGAATCCACCAAGCTTGGTGTGGCCCCAGAGTCCTGCTTGAGTTCACATAGAGCTCATGCCATGCGTGGAGGAGAGGAGGATTGACAGTTCACTAGTGTTAGGAAAAGAATCTGATTAAATCCAGTCATAATAAAATGGCACTGGCACACTGGGAGCCAAGGGAGCCTCTTTCCCGTGGGGAAAGGTGTTTATTAAACCCCACATCAATCGTCAGCCCTACTGGTGTTAACTAGGAGCAAGACAAGAATTCCCCGTGTTGCTGATTTTATTTAACTGGAAGTCTTAGCTGGCAGTGATAGCAGGGAGAAAAAGAAATAAAGCAGAAGCATTATAAAACTTGTCATTTTTCAAGTGAGCTTCAATAATATAACATGGTTGCCAGATACAAAATCAATATACAGGAGTAATTATATGTCTCTATATCAGCAGTAAACCAAAAGCATAATTTAAAACAAAAACAACAAAAAACGAACAATACTACTGAAGGGCTGGTCCTAGTGGCACACATCTGTAATCCCAGCTCATCAGGAGGCAGAGATGAATGGATCACCGTCCCAGGGCAGCAGCCTGAGCAAAAGTTAGCAAAACTCTGTCTCAGAAACCAGCAGAGTGTGGTGTGGTACTCAGTGGGGGAGGAGGAGAGAGGAGGATCCTGGCCCAAGGCTGACCCAGACAAAAACATGAGGCCCTCTCGGAAAAACAGAGTAAAAGCCAAAGGCATGGGGATTGCCTAGCAGACATGAGTTCAATCCCAGTGCCACCAAAAAAAATAACAACAACAATAATACATACAAAAGGTGCTATTGGAGGCAGCAACCATAACAAAAAAGAATAGCTAGAAATGAACATGCATTACTCCAGGACTTCCGGGAAAAACAAGACATTGTCATGCAAGCTTCTCAGATCTCCATGGAACCTGCCCCACATTTAGGGAGAAATCTCACTGTTCACTTCCACAGTGCCATGGTCACAGTGGTGCCAGACTGACCCCACCACAGGGCTTTCTAGATGGAACTTGGAAAGCTGATCCCAGAACCCCAGGGTCCCAAGAGCACGCAGGAGCAGAGGGCCAGCCCCCATGATGCGTGCAGGCAAGAGGCAGGGAGTAGCCACAGTGTTTGGGGGTACACACAGTCAGACCACAGGGAGAAGAGTAGGATAAACATGGATTGGATGCATTGCAAAGTCAAGGAATGTTCTCAGCGGCCTGTGTTTGGGGGTTTGTTCTTTATTCTCTGTGTAGAAGTTTCTTTGGCTTCCTGCCAGTGGTGAGGCCCCCCGCCCAGCCATCTTTCCTCCATGCATTTGTTCAGGAGCTGTGGGTCCCCTTGCCGAGGCTCGCCAGGGTCTGCCGGCTTCCTGCACACCCATGTTACCTGCATTGCCTGGCTTTGGCCAGCCTTGCCCAGATGTCCAGGGCTGGGGGAGATGGAAGCATCATCTTCATTAGAGGAAGGCCACCCAAGCCCCAAAGGCCATGATGGCAGCTCTGCGCCCCAGGCCTGGTCCTCACTCTGGCTTACCCCAAGGTAGCTTGCCATGCATGAGGCCATCACCATGTCATGGCCTCACATGGCCTTCTCTGTCTGTGTGTCTGTGTGTCTGTGTGTCTTTGTGTCTGTGTCTGTGTCTGTGTTTGCCCACATGTGTTCGCATAGTTACTGGGGCTTGAACTCAGGGCCTGGGTGCTATCCTTTAGCTTTTTCACTCAAAGCTATCGCTCTACTACTTGAGTCACAGCTCAACCTGTGGCTTTTTGGTGGAGATAAGAGTCTTACCAAGGCGGCATTGGTGGCTCACGCCTGTAATCCTAGCTACTCAGGAGGCTGAGATCTGAGCATGGGGTTCAAAACCAGTCCAGGCAGGAAAGACGTGAGACTCTTATCTCTAATATACCATTCAGAAAACTGGAAGTGGCACTGTGGCTCAAGTGGTAGAGCCCTTGCCTTGAACTGAAGAGCTGAGGGACAGCGTTCAGGCCCAGAGTGACTGACCAAAAAAAAAAAAAAAAAGTCTTACCAACTTTCCTGC